GCACACCGGCACAAGCGCAACCCGCCGGGCTTTAAAGGCCTCCCTGGCAGAGTGGGGAGCGGGACTCACAGCGCGGGGCGCCCCTGAAGCGCGTCCGGGCGGCGCGCGCAGCGCTGGGGCGCGGGGTTGGGCTGGATCGCCGTCCGGCCGGAGGGAGGAGCGACCGGCGACTTCCTGAGTCGCCCGCAGTCCCGGGCAGAACCCGCGCCGCGATGTCGGGGAGCTCCGCTCGCAGCCTGGCGAAAGGTGACGCGTGATCGGGACGCCCCACGTGCGGGGGACGCGCGGGGTCGCAGGCGACTCCCGGGGCCCTTAACCGACCCCACCTTTCCCCGCAGGTAGCGCGCCCCCGAGGCCGGTCCCCGAGGGCCGCATCCGCGTCTACAGCATGAGGTTCTGCCCGTTCGCCAAGAGGACGCTCTTGGTGCTGAGAGCCAAGGGAATCGAGTGAGCGCGGGCGGCGGGCTGGGAGTCCCGGGGTGGTCGGGGCTAGGCTCCACCGCAAAATAAACTCTCGGGCCTTTTAGGGGCATAGGCAGTTAGTGGACCCCTTGGGGTGCGGGAGGCCACCCACGACACCGGTCTAAAAAACCCATTTCGGTCCCGGTCCTTCCGATTCCGATTCATAGGGACCTTAAAACCAAACTCACTGCCGTCGAGTCGATGCCGACTCATAGCGACTCTATAGGGGAGGATAGAACCGACCGGGCGCATGAAAGCCCCCCATAGGGTTTCCAGAGCCGAAATCTTTACGGAAGTTAACTGGACACCTTTCTGGCCAGGAGTGGCCACTGGGTGCCAACCTCTGGCCCTTGCCTTAACAAGTGAGCGATAACTTTTGTACCACCAGGATTTCTCATCCACCTGTCTGGGACACCTCATTTAGCCGGTCACACTTTATTTGTTGTTGGTAATCTGAAAAGCTGAGAGTCAAGTAAAACTGATATTTGCCCTGTGTTCTCTTGGCTGTTCACCACTGGCAGAAGCTTCTACCTGGGGGTAGATGGCCTGCTACCCGTGCCACTGCCTTTTCACTTTCCCCACTGTGGCCTCCGTCCTTGTCCTTCGTGTCCTCGATTGTTTGCCCTAGACTGAGTCGCCTGCTCCTCTTCGAATAACCAGTCATTTCTCCCAGGGCACAGTTTGGACCCTGTGCACCTCGCAGAGCGCCAAGTTAGTAAAGACACTGGCATGTGTTGTTGACTTCTCGGTTGAGTAAATAACGGGTTGCATCTAGCCCTGAAAATTCTGCCCTGGGCAAACAAGCCGGATGGCATGTAGACTGCGCACGGGAAATACACAATCGTAACTTGACTTTCCTCAGTTGCCACTAAATGTCCATTGGGAAGTCCGCCCTGCCAGTGACTGTTGGAATCTGGTGACCAGACGTGTCTTACATGTCTGTGCTTGCTGTGGCAGGCATGGTGGAAGTTTAAAATGGAGCCCGATCCTCATGGGATTCTCCACTTTGTGCTTAGGCTTTGTCAACTCAGTTTAGTCTTCCAGGAGAAAAATGGCTAGGTGGGCCGTTCTTTTCCCCAAAAGAAATGTAAGGTAAAGAAGAGGGGAAAAGTGCTAACTACAAGAGCAGTGATTCAAACCCATCAGCGGCTCAGCAGCTGAGAGTTGAGTCTGGTTGTCCCTGTACAGATGTACAGTGCTGGAAACCTAAGCAGCAGTTCCGCTCTGTCCCTTAGGGTTGCAGTGAGCGGAATCGACAGGACAACAGTGGGGATTAAGTTTGAGCCCCAGGAGGCTTTGAGTGACGAAGCACTAGATTTTTATTTCAAAAGAAGCAGGCATTTCTCAACGAGGTGCAGCTTCCTACTTGCGGCAGATGTTTTGGCTTGCTGGTTTACAGTACCAGGTTAGCAAAGGAATGTGTGTTCCAAAGGTGCAGCAGGGAGACTGTGGGCTGTGAGGCTGGCTTCTTGGCCCACAGAGCCATAGGCCAGCAGAGAGGCCAAGGACTGGAGAGAGACTTGGCTGCTGGCTGAGGAGAGGTTGCTGAGGACCAATGACTGTGTCCTTACTGTTTACTGATCCTGCCTCGTGGTAGCCTGTTAACTCTTCTAATAAATGCTCTTAGTTGTTGGGAGGGGCTGGGGGTGGAGGCAGCCTTTATCAGGGAGGCTCAGGAGTTTTTGTTCTTTTCATAGATGTTTCTTGGCAAGTGACCTTGACTTCCTGGCAATGGCTGGCATCTGAAGTTCCCACTGTCAGTTCAGTAGCCTTTTAGTGCGCGCGCGCACACACACACACACACACACACACACACACACACCAGCATTCAAACTTTTGTTTCTATGGGGAGGTTTATATCTTCAAGACCTTGGTCTGCTAACCATAAGGCCGGTGGTTCAAACCCTGTAGCTACCCCCTGGAATCCCTACGGAGGGTTCATATGAGTTGGAATGTGTGTTTGTTGGCAGTGTGTTGGTTTTAGCTACAGCTATGGATGTGGAAATGGGAAATAAAAGTTGCATGGGTATATATTTTTTAGTAGCCTGTTCTTTTAAAAAAGTTTATTAGTAATTAGGAGTTAATACATATACCATTCCATAGTTCAACCACGTCAAGCAGAATTGTACAATTGCTTCCACAGTTTCCAAACAATTATTTTCTTCCTGGACTCTTTGACATCGTCTCCCTTTAATTCCCAACCCCCATCAACCTCTGGTGTGTGTCGCGCACACACACACACACACACACACACACACCTGAAAATCCTTATTCTACTTGCTGTCTCTGTAGGTTCATCATTCATCAGTTTCATATACTGAAACACAGAAAAACATATAACACAACTTCCTGAGGGTGACTGCCAATGACAATACCTCTGAGATACACCATAATATGAACAAACAAAAATACAGAAAATGTTGAAAACCAGATCAGGTCCAGCGTGCATCAGAGGGGGAATCAACTGACAGAGTTTTAATTGTTCAAGTCAGACCTATGCCTTTGGTTTTCTATACTCATCTCTCCAGTGCACACTTGTTTAGTAACCCCTTTCCTCCCTCCCCTCAGTGGTGGACAGGGAATTCACTGGAGGCTTATTTCCTATGTCGTTCCCACAAATGAATCTTGGGTTCCCACTGTCATCAACAGATGAATCTGTTCTTTTGAACCCTTAACCCATTGAACAATGATTTGATAGTTATATCTTCCCTTTTTAAATTTCATCTGAAATCTCTCATTCAAGATACAAGATAGATCTAATTATAATCTGAAGACAATCTTGACTTGTTTTCTTCCTTTTGGATTTACCCACTGAACAATTTTTTTTAAATCACCAAATCAGGGAGATTTAATCTGAAACTTTACTTAGTGGATGTGTTTCTAGGATCCTTTAACATTCTTGAAAAACTAACAAGCAAGAAATTTTTAATCCAAATTAACAAAAGGACTTAGGTTTTTCTCATGTTGAGTCTCATATACTGCATGCTAGCCATAATTCTATTAGTTGCCTGGTATAATAAAAAATTAAGATATCTCTTAGCCAAAAATGGATTAACCTACTAACAGTTTTCAGAAACGTCTACCTCATTCATGTACTAGTTCAGCCAGTATTTGGGGCCTTGTCTACGAGGATATAATTTTCTTCCTAGCATATTCATCTTCAGTTCTGTTCATTTACATGTTTACTATTTTATTACTATGAGCAAGATCCGTGCGTTCCTGGCGTCTACGTCCTAGGAAGTGACATAATAGCCAAGCAAGTCAGTGAGTAAGATCATTTCAGAGAGGGGCCATCAGCTCTCTGATGAAAGTAAAATGAGATGGTCATGTGTGGAGGGGAAGCTGGACAGCTACTCCAGGGTGGACGGACTGGGAGGGTCTTTCTGTGGTGTTGATATTTGCATAAAAGGTCTAAGGTGGGGCTATGTTTGGGCAATGCAAGGAGTAGAGAAAGGCCAGTAACTCCAGAGCATAATGAACGGAGGAAAAGCTACGGGCGGCAAGTAAGCAAGGATCGTAGCAAATGCACGTTGGCATGTTGAGGAGTTTGGCGTTTACCCTCATTGCAATGGAGAGTAATGGAGCGGTTTCGCACAGGAGGGGGACCTGACAGTTTACTTTGGTCATTGCTGCCCTGGTTGTGTGTGATGGGATTGAAGGGAAGCCCTGGGGGAAGCAGAGGCTGGTTGAGTGGCTGTTTTGAGGTTCTAGGGAAGAGATGACAGTCAAGTTGAAGCTGGAAGTGGATAGAGTCCAGATAGGATCTAGAGGTTGAGCTGGGAGGTGGATTTAGTACTGGGGTGAAGGGAAGAAGTTCGGGGAAAGGGTGGCAGGGAGAAGCCAATGGACTCCTAGGTTTGGGGTCTGATCGCTAAGTGGATGATAGGGCTGGTGAGGATTTATTCAAAAGTGCAGAAAAGCTCCATCCGTTTCCATCTTCTGTGTGTCTTCCAGGCATGAAGTCATCAATATCAACCTGAAAAACAAACCAGAGTGGTTCTTCTCGAAGAATCCCTCTGGCCTGGTGCCAGTTCTGGAAAACAGTCAGGGTCAACTCATCTATGAATCTGCCATCACCTGTGAGTGCCTGGATGAAGCTTACCCAGGGAGGAAGCTGTTGCCAGATGACCCCTATGAGAAAGCTCGCCAAAAGATGGTGTTTGAGTTATTTGCAAAGGTGTGTACCTAAGTTGCTTCAACTCCTATTGGAGAAATCCATTTTAAGCTGGGTCCGTGCGGTTGTTCATGGATCAGTGGCTGGGAAGAAGAAGAAGAAAAGACTGGAAGATGACTCCTGTCAGCTCTGACATGTCCGAAAACCCTCTGTGACCCAATTCCTCGGTGTTCCTTTCCAAAATTGCCCTTCTCTCTTCTCCTGGTACTGTATGTCCAGCCATTGACCACGTTGACCAACTTCTTGCTCATCTTGCCCAGGAAGACTTGTTCATATTCTTCTCCGCCTCGAATCTCCAAGTCATCTTTCATGTGGCTTTCCAGAGTGCTTGCCGGGCTGGCTTAGTGCCCTGGTGCTGTGTCCCCACTACGTGCTGACTTCTCCCTGGGGGGCTCTCGTGTATTGCACGAGGGCTGGAGCGCCTGGAGGGCAAGGCTGTTTGGATCACTGCTGGTTGACTGCCTGGGTTTGTGACCAGCCCTGACAGTTCCTAGTTGTGGGACTCACCTCAGGTTAACTAACACTTTACCTCTCCATCCCTCAGCTCCATGATTAGAGCTGAGGTAGAGTAGGTACTCTTGTTCCCACCTCAAAAGGTGATGTTTTTCACTAGCGAGCACAGAGCCATGGTAGCTACTTAGCATCAGACAGTGTGAGCAGTGAGCATTTGGTAGGTGGTGGCAGTAGCCTGCAGCTGACTGAAGGAATGAAAGGTATGCCCCCAAGTGCATTCTCATTAGCACTGGTGTTGTGGACTAGCTCACACCATCAGCATTAATGAAAAAACAACCAGGAGATGTGTGATTGGACACCTGGAATGGCGCTGCTGGCTGATCTCCCTGTTGCTGGGTTATTACTGTGATTATATGGTCAGCCTCCTCCAAAGGAGTATCTTGTTTCTAGGGAAATGGCTAAAGAAGTAGCTGGGAGCGGAGGAATGTAGAGGGAGAGCGCAGTTTTAAGGACCATTGTCAAGGGAGGCCGGTGGGAAAGGGAGTTAGAGCTGTTTGACTCAGCAGGAAGAGCGTGAAAGAAGGGTGGAGGTGGCTGCCATCGAGGCATGATGGAGGGGAATTTGACATTTCCAAGACAGATCTTGGAGATTGTTTTTTTAAGGGACAAAAAAGGAGACTCCTTGTACAGGCTCGAGAGAAAATGAACTAAAAAGTAAAGCTGGAGGTTGTCTGCCATTACTTCCCTTCCCACACACATTTGGCATAGAGTTAGCTTGTGTGTCACATGACCCCATCCTTCTAGCTACAGCTGATCAGACCAGAAATGGACTTCTCTTGCAGCCCTGGGCCCATTGCCTCCTCTCCTGGAACCCTGAAACTGAGAGCCATCGACTGACACTGAGCTTTGGAGCTCTGAGTTTATGTGTCACTAGCAAAGCCATGTGAGGATTTTAGGAAAGCCAAAATTAAAGAGCATTGCAAAGGGAGCTGATAAGAGGGAAACCACCTGGAGCACATCTTTAAGCAGAAGTAGAGCTGAAAAACCAGCCTGGCCCAGGGAGAAGTTTGGGCGGAAGGGCTGTGACTTAAAGTTTATTGTGCCAACCTGGCCGATAAACACATGTGGGGTTAATTGAAGGGCAGAGAAAAGGCTCAGTGAGCCTCGCCTTTGTAGTTCTCGGGTCTCTTGCTTTGTGATGGTCGAACCAGGGGGCAGCTGCCTTAGCCAGTTCCCTGTGGTTTCTCCAGCTTCTGAGGTCTGGTTGCATCCATGTGGCTTGTCTTCTGCAATGTCTCCCAGGAAGTGGCAGAGAGAGAGAGGCGTCTTCCACCTTCAAGGAGGAAGTACCAGATTTCCCAGAATTCTTAGAAGACCATGCCCAGATTGACAGTCTAGACTCCACTCATACACTCTTAATCTTTAAATTGACACCAGATTAGGTGACTACCACACTTATGCATATGAGTTTCTGTGGATTGGTTTCTCTAATGTACCCAGACTGACACAGGCTGTCCGTAGACCTCCAGGTCCAAGGAGGCCAAGCTGTACTGCTTGAGATTCTCCTGCATTTTGACCGGAGAGAAGACTTCTGCTTCTTGCAGTCAGATAGCAAAGGCCAAAGCACTGGAACACACACTGGATAGACTCTTCCTGTCACATATGCATGAATCGGACTTCAGAAATGAGCGATCTGAGGAAATAGACTTGGTGCGGGGCGCGGATTCTGTTGGCTACAATGGCCGCAGAGCTCCCAGCATTCAAGAGTAGGGCTGGTTGCACGTTTAAACTCCAGAGAGGAAATGGCATCTGTGCTGTTGGCGTTAGTCGTTGCTTCAGGGCTTACTGGTTGGTACAAACGTGCTCGAACTATTGGCTCAAAGTCTAGTGGTTCAAACCCACCCAGAGGTGCTGGACTAGTCAGCAGACAGGACTAGTCATTTACTTTCACAAAGTTATAGCCTTGAAAACCTTGTGGGACGGGGCTGTTTGGCACACATGCGGTGGTCACACACTGGGGTCAACTCATCAGAAGTTGACCTCTGTGAACCCAGGAACTCTGCTCCCTTGAATGTTTCTAGAACACCCTGACCGCAACGACTCTGAGCTATGGAACACACTGTTAGGTGACGAGGGGCAGATGTACTTTATAACCTAAGACATTATTCTCTTTCAGATACCATTTTTGATAGGAAGCTTTGTCAGAAGGCAAGATAAGGGAGACTGCCCTGGCCTGAAAGAAGAACTGTGTGAAGAATTCAGCAAGCTAGAAGAGGTAATCAATGTTCTCTTCTTGTTTGGACCAGAGGAATGGATAGACTGTCTCCACCTTCCTCTGTTTTCCTCCTTGTACTCTTCATACCCCCATTTCCCACCTCCTTTTATGACATGAACAGTTCCACAGATGGTTTAGTTGCCAACCAATCGCAGCAACTGGCTGTAAAGCTAAGTAAACCAAACAAATATATTTGGTTGTTGGTTTTCCACATATTTTATTTGTTGAATCAACACCACAATGACAAGGAAAAAGGGAAATCTTCACCCACATTTCTACAATTTGTAACCCGTTTTTATTTTCCTAGGCTTGTTTCCATTCATTGCCCAGATATTCAAAATCAAAACTTAATGTAACTGTTGTCAAAGCAGTATTTTCATTGCTCCTTTCTAAGTATTTTTCTTTTTGAAGCTTATATTGTTATTTCCTCACTGCTCGAGTAAGTTTCCACGTGAACACAGCCATGGGGCCAGCACCCATAGCGTGTTACATACAAATGGAATCTTGGAGTATGCATGCTTTTTAGGTCTGGCTTCTTGCACTCACTATTAGTTTAGTTAGGGTCCTCTGTGTGTGTAGTTTGTTCATCTGGTGGCATAGTGGCTACACATTGGGTTGCTAACTGCAAGGTCAGCAGTTTGAAACCACCAGCCACTCGCAGGAGAAAGGCAGTCTTGGAAAACCACAGAGGCTTTATGGGAGTAGGAAGCTTTATCTTTCCTGGTCGTACCGATTTATGCTCCAGTCAGCAGTGGTTCCATGGCCTTGCTAACTTTGACTTGCTCATTGTCGCCGTTCTGGTGGGTGGGTCATGGTATTGCATTTTGGCTTTAATTTGCATTTCCCTGACTAATGTATTTGTGCGCCCCCTCAAGTGATTCGTGGCCATTTGGTAAAATTCCAGTCGTGCCTGTTTTCCTAATGGGATGTTTGCCTTTCTGCCTATGGATCTCGTTTGTTCTCTATTCTGAATACCAGTCCTTTGTCAGGATACTCTGTGGCTTGTTTAATTTGACTCTATTTTTGTTTATTATGCTTCATCCCAAACCAACAGACCCTAAAGCTTAAAGAGGTCAAATTGACAACACAACACAATTTAGATGTGCCCAGAGTAGAGCTCCTACACTTACCCTGCTCTGCTAAATCTGCCTTCATCATTTCTGATGCAGAAATAACTCTGATGTTCAGGTTTTGGTGAATAAGAAGACAACATTCTTTGGTGGCGACTCTCTTTCTATGATTGATTACCTCATCTGGCCCTGGTTTGAATGTCTGGAACCAATGGAGTTAGTTGGGTAAGAATTTGAATACAATGACAGTGGAGTGTTATATATTGATCTTTTTAAATTATTATTTTAAAAAACGGAATTGAAAGTAGGTAATAAAACTGGTGAGGACAGTCAGGCAAGAGGAGAATCTTGGATTTCCAGGGAACTCATATGCTCACACCATCGTACCTTACGCAGGAGCGGTGGTGGCGGGGGCGGCGGCGGGGTTTTAAGTCATTTATTCTTTCCCTTCTGGTAAAATTCCATCAGGACGTGAACTTTTGTAAGGGGATACAAGACTGTATGTCTAGTGCTACCTCCCATTGACCGCTAAGCTTTACCCGGTAAGGAATTACAGTCTCGGAAACTCACAGGAGTATTTCCCCCCGTCCTGCAGGGTCGCTGGAATCGGAATCGACTGGGTGGCAATGAGCGTGAGAAACTGACTGCCATCTAGTTGATTTCATCTTGTGGTTCTATGGGGCACTCGATTTCTAACAGCCCATAACTCTTCTATTTGGATGTTGGGGTGTGGGGGTCCCCGACATTTGAGCGGGTCCTCAGGAGCGATTTAGTGATTGTGGAAAATATTAAAGACAGACAGACAGCGGGGCACAGGGGCTCCCCTTCCCATGTCAGGACTGAGAGAAAATGTATTTTCCAATAGGCATATTCAATGAAGCTTACACCTCTTTCATAAGGCATGCATGTCATACAGCTAATGTATAACATAATCAATAGGTAATATCATAAGCTGGTAACATAATAAACCAGCAATGAGGTGAGCCATTGTCTGTCCTAGTGCTAGTTGACCTCAAACTACCCTGAGTGCTCCCCACCTGCCCCCTCCCTGTAGCTACATTTACAGTGGTTTGGCTTTAGAACCCGATTGCTCTTATCTACAGATAACTTCCAGGCACAGGGAGTAGCTAGACGCATGAATGATTCATGTTATATGGTAGCTCCTTTTATGGGGGGTTATTGGACAACTGTTCAGCCATAAGAATGTGTATCAAGATTTATTTTATCTCATAACCGTGAGGGTCTTCCCCCACCAGAGTCGGCTTTTTCAGACCTGGAATTATGAGCATCGAGGATTTAGCTGCATTACATTTTCATCCAGGCCCTCAGTTGACCACAGTTGGATACCCTTCAAAAGATGCCCCTGGGTTTCCAAGACTGTAAATCTTTATAGGAGCAGAAAGCCTCATCTTCTTCCCAAAGAGCAGCTGGTGGGTACGAATTGCTGACCTTGTAGCTAGCAGCCCAATGTATCCACGATCATCAGAGCTTCTCCATGGAAGAAAAAGGCCTCTGAGACCTTTTCCAGATCCACTAGTCTCTGGTTCCATGCATTTTAAAGAAAGGTTTGTAAAGGTTCCAGGGAAACAAAATGAAACTGCAGTGCTGATGATGAGAAACAAGTCTTCCTCTGCCTTCCTACTGAACCTAGCTCATGCTTTTCATTCTTGTTCTCCTCCCGAAGGTGTGTAGACCACACTCCGAAACTTAAGCTCTGGATGGTAGCCATGAAGAAGGATCCCATAACATCAGCCCTCTCCTTGGATACGAATGCCTACCGAGGGTTCTTACCTCTGTACGCGCAGAACAGCCCGGAAGCCTGTGATTATGGGCTTTGATGAGGGTGCAGATGTCTGAGCGTTTGCTTCACCAGATATGAAGACTCACAAGATTCTACTTTATAAGGGATCTCACATCTTAGTGGATCACCTTCTCTGATTGATTTGACATGGCCTAAATATGGAGTCCCTATAAAGCCTCCTGCATTTACATTTCCTGTCTCTGGGTGTTCAATGACCATTAGGGTTCTGCTATCATAGTCTATATGGAAAACCTCCAAATGAGCTTAGATAGAGCTGGGATATACTCTAGATTGCTAACAGCTTCCATTTGGATACCCTTCAAAAGATGCCCGCAGATTACTTCACTTTGAGTTTCTAGGCCGAAGACCTTTCAAATCCTCATCCTATCCTTTCCATCTGTGACTGAACATCGTACCTTCTATTCCCATTGTTGCCACCTAGCCCGACCTACATCACCTCAAAGCTAGGTCACTGGGTGGCCTAGTCTTTCAAACCCTTCTTGGTAAACCCCATGCTGTGCACAAAGCAGATGTCTCATCCAACACCAAATCATTTGTCACTGAGCTTATTTCAATTTATTAATTCAATTGAAAATGCTATATGGATTGCAGAGTAGAGCTGGACTCCATAGGGTTTTCAGGATTGGGACCTGTTTGAAGCAGGCTGCCGGGCCTTTCTTCCAAGGTGCCTCTGGGTGGGTTCAAGCCACCAAAATTTCCTTAAACATGAGCCACCCAGGGACTCGATGCCTCAGCTACATAATTAAAAACATCAGTGTAGATGGCTGGAGGAGTGAACAAGATGACACCTCTGGGAACCCTTTGGGGCAGTTCTGCTTGGTCCTACTGAGTTGCTACAAAATCAGAATCAACTTGGTGGCAACTGCTATGGGCAGTATCCGCACTCAAGCCTGTTAGTACTGTTCGTTTTCTCTGGTGGGAAATAGCTCGGTCCTTGGCTTTGCACGAGAATTCATGCCGAAGTCTGGATTGTGATCCAAGTGGGTTTTTATAAAGAACGAAGTTTCAGGTTTTAGTCACAGGGACAACAGTGAACAGGGGCAACCTGTGGGACTGCACACCCACACGTAGCCAGAGGCCAGGGAAACCGTGATGCCAGAAAGGGAAGATGGGCAGGGGGTCTCCAGGTCAAGGCACGAGGCCTCTGGCTGGGAGGCGTGGTCGAAGGTATTGGTTGGCCCCATTAGCTGAGTTAACCCCACCTGGGCCTAGTTTGGGCCACCAGGTGTCCTGCCCACCTGGCTAGGGCTTCAATTGGCGCATGCCCAGTAGTCTTTATGGCTGACTAAGGGCTCGCCTGATTCTCTTCCAACCTCCTGTAGGGGGCCTTCAGGCATGGGGCGGGGCAACCCACGATCCTGCTACCTAACAATCCTATTTACCACACATTCCATTGGGCTTAACTATTTTAGTTTTATCATCATGTCATCTTGAAAAGGTGGGAGAACATCGTTGCATCCCATGGAAGATGGTTAAGTCAAGCTTATAGAAAGATCAAAAACAAAAACACCCAGGGCACACTTATTAGGATGCGGCTGTCCACCAACCCCTCTGTAAGGTTTGCTGTACTTATTTCTGCCACGCGTGTGCCGGGGAGAAAAACGTCTGGTAAATTCCGGATTGAAGTGTGCACCAAAACTACTTCGGGCGCACCGCTGGATTTCTGATACAGGTCTGGGCTAAGAAATCTGTATTTGAGATGAACCAGGAACCGGGGGGCCACAGCCTCAGGGGCAGCTCTGAACAGGCGGACGTCAGAATCGGCCTCGTGACGCCCACCACCTCCGGCCACCAACACCAACCAGACTCACATAGGGCTGACCTCTGTCGCCGACCACCTGACCAGCCTACCAAGCCCGAAGGGTGCCCTGACCACTCGCGCCAGACTGATCTGCAGGGAGCTGGGATGCCGGCCGCAGAGAATCTGCGGGTAACTGACCTTTCACTTCCGATTAGCACGTTTTAATAACGCGATTATCCATTGGCTCAACTCGGCCTGGGCTCTTCCGAAAGCTTTGGCGATTGGCTGAAGCTTTGGGCCCCGCGACCAATTGGGTCAGATCGCATTGGGAGGGGCGGGCCCTTGTGCCCGCCGCTCGGCTCGCGGGCTCTACTGGCCTCAGTCCTTGCGGTTCCACCTGGGGGCTCGCCTGCTCTGTGTAGTGCTTGATGGGACGGAGAGATTGAGGTTAATCCGGACGTTGGGTTTTTACGGAACGTCGGGGCCCAGAACAGTATTTTAAACTTTTTTCTTTTTTTTTACCTAGGACATTAAAAGAAAGCCCGCCCACCTACCTTCAACGTTTCATAAAAGACTGTAACACCAAAAAAGGTAGAAGCATATTGAAGGGGGGAAAAAAAAGGCTAAAGAGATGGTGGGGGTGTGTTAAATGGTTCAAAGTTGGAACAATTCGAGTAACAATAATAATAGCGTAATAACCCAGAAGTAGAAAAGAAATAACCCTGAAAGTCATACTGATATAAACAAATGAATAAGTAAATGAGAGGGAAGAGTTAAGTCTTCTAGGTAGAAGAATTTGACAGCAGCAACAACAAGCACTTTTAAATGTAGATACCCTGCCTTGGAGGAGATGGGGCAGACTTCCACATTACTTACAATGTGGGTCTTGCATGGGGACTTTTCTTCACAAAGCGTGCGCTCCGAAAGTGGGGAATGGGGCAGGGTGATTTGATAGGGAGAATACCATCTCCGACTGGGCATCAAGGTTAAAGTCATCAGTGATAAGTTGTGCTAACTGTATGGACCCTTGCTATGATGTGAGAAAAATGACACTTTTGTGGTCTCCCTCACCCAAAGCCAGGAAGGAAACATCAAAATCCAATTATGTTCTATCAAACCTGTGCTAGCATTCTGCACTGACTGTCAAGGTCATAAAAACAAGGAAAGCAAGAGAAACTGATGCAGTCCAGAGGTTCCTAAAGAGGCTTGACGACTAAATATAATGTCTTGGAACAGAAAAAGGACATTAGGTAGAAACTAAGGAAATTTGAAAAGGTAGAACTATAATTAGTAATATTGGACCACTATTGGTTATTGATTTTGACTACTATACAAATGGTATGGGGAAACCAAGTACAGGTATATGGGAACTGGTTTTTGCAACTTTTATGTAAATCTAAAACTTGAAAGATGCAAGGTTTTTTTTCTCTTAAAGGGATATATACTTAACTGCACCCTGTAGCATGCACTTGATGAAAATTGTGGAATACTTAATCACAAAATCTTTGATATAAACTATGTTTCTACCAGGGAATGGATAATAATTTTATTTATATTGCCTAATTCAAACCCTACTTTCTTTCCTCCTCCTAAAACAGAGACTCATGGAAATGAAGGAAAGGATTATTTTGATGTTAACATCCCTTCCCTAGAAAGCTTAAGTAATTAATCACACATGACCAAAGATCCTCACATTTTGAAAACATCCGATTACATTTGCGGTGGCTGCATTCTCATTTATTTCTTGGTTGAGCGAGTCAGCAGAATTGACGTGTAAACATGAAATTGGAGCATAAAAAGAGCGCGTGCAAAGAGGATTTTTAAAGAAGTACTTAGTGGGCCTTAAAAGGGAAGTAGGGCTGTGTAGAAAGGCAATCTTTCCAGGGAAACCATATTATTTCTTGGTATGCTTAAAGACCACATTACTGAAATGCAGCCTGCAGTATTCAAACATTCAGGTGGCATTAAACTGGTGCAATAAGTGGTGTGAATTAATTTTCCTTCTCATCTGCCTGGCAAAACCGAATTGCACTGCATTTCTCTTTATGAATTAAAAATTGGAATGCACCCTCTTCTTCATTGGCATGAATTTCAAAGTTTACAGAGTTCTTACCTGGATGATGTCCACACAATTTCATTCCAAACGAACAGCACACCTATCTCATAGGTACTATAAGCATTCTCATTTGACCAGTCAGAGAGGGGAAGGTCCGAGAGGTTGTCCAAGAGTCTAAAGCCGAGTTTAGAGCTAGCCCATCAGACTCCAGAGCCTGCACCGTGAAACACACTCTGTCGCTTCCTTCCTGGATGGGTTTGGATATGTGTTCCACACCCTCTTCACCAGGACTTTCCACCCCTACCTTCACCAGACAGATTCACATTTCAGAAATTGATGTCCCACTTATACGATTTTGGAAGGTTTGCAGTAGACTTTTTAAAAAGTAGGGTTTTCTTTTTCTCCATAGATTTTCTTTTCTAAGGCTGGTTTACAGAAAAATTAGGCAGAAGGTAGAGTTCTCAAATATTCACTCTCCCTTTGCCCACACTTTCTATAATTCTTGACATCTTACAATACTGTGGTATATTTGTTACAATTGATTAAACTAATGTTGATGACATTACTGTCTAGAGTTGACACTATGGTTCACTCTCTGTTGTACATTTTTATGGATTTTGACAAATACTTAATGTCATGTGTCCACTATTACATTATCGTAGAGATTAGGTTTGCTTCCACCCAAATCCCCTGTGTTCACCTAGTCATCTCTCCCCTTCTCACTATGACCCTAATCCTTGGCAAGCACATAGATAGTTTTGCTTTCCAAAAATGTGGGAGTCTTACAATATATAGCTTTTCCAGACCGGCTAGTTGCATTGGGTAAATCTGCTGCACAAGACCTCTTTAGAGTATTGAAAAGCAAGGATGCTACTTTGAGGACTAAGTGCATGTGACCCAAGTCATGATGGGCTCATATGCTTGTGAAAGTTGAACAGTGAATATGGGAGACATACGAAGAATTGATGCATTTGAACTGTAGAGCCAGTGAAGAAGATTGAAGGTGCTCAAAGGACAAACAAATCTGTATTGGAGAAAGTACAGCCAGCGTGCTCCTTGGAAGCAAGAATGGCGAGACTTCACCTCACGTACTTTGGACATGTTGCCAGGAGAGCCCTGTCCCTGGAGAATGACATCATGCTTGGTAAGCTTGAGGCTTGACTATCAACTTGAGGCTTGGATTTTTTCTTCAGTTCTTTCAGCTTGAGATATGTTAAGCATATTCTTCCGAAGGGCATGCCAAGTCGAGGGACGATGAAAAGGAGGAAGGCCCCCAAGGACATGGATTGACACAGTGCCTGCGACAATGAGCTCAAGCACAGGCACAATTGTGAGGACGGTGCAGGACTGGCAGTGTTGCGTTCTGTTGTGCATAGTAGGCCTGCCATGCGTCAGACTGACTTGGTGGCATCTACCAACAACAAGGAAGACCAGTTAAGATGACTGCTATTCAAATTTATGCACCAAGTACTAAAGCCAATGATGAAGAAATTAAGAAGTCTAACAAGTTCTTCAGTCTGAAATTGTCCAAGTTTACAATCAAGATACAGTAATAATTACTAGTGACTTGGATGTGAGAGTTGGAAACAAAGAAGGATCGATAGTTGGAGAATAAGGCCTTGGTGATGGGAAGTTCGCGATTGCAATGTAGAATTTTTCAAGATCAACAAATTCCTTATTGCCAATACCTTTTTAAATAACATAAATGGAGACTATACACATGGACTTCACCCGATGGAATACACAGGAATCAAATTGACTACATCTGTGGAAAGACAGTGAAGTTCCGTCTCATTATATGAGTGCGACATGATCAAGACCAGGAGCTGACTATGGATCAGACCATCAATTGCTCATATACAAGCTCAGGTTGAAGCTGAAAATAACCAAAACAAGTCCACAAGGGCCAAAATATTACCTTATCTAGAGACCATTTCAAGAAGAGATTTGATACATTGAATACTAATGACCAAAGACCAGAGGTGTGGAGTGAGATAAAGACCATCCTACATGAAGAAATCAAAAGGCCATTAAAAAGACAGGCAAGAAAGAAAAAAACTCTGGAAGGCAGAATGGACTCCACTAACTCTTGACTCTAAGTAAAGAAATGATAAAAGAACTGAACCGGAAATTTCTAAGGAAAGCTTGAGAAGATGGAATTCTAAGGAAATGCTTGAGAAGACAAAGCATTATAATGAAATGTGCAAAGACCTTTAGTTAGAAAAGCAAAAGAGAAGAACACGCTTAACATATCTCAAGCTGAAAGAACTGAAGAAAAAGTTTAAGCCTCAAGTTGACATACTAAGGCTTCTGTGGGCCAAATGTGGGAGGCCTTAACAAGTGGTGTTGCTTAACTGCAAGGTCAGCAGTTCCAAAACAGCAGTTGCTCCCTGGGAGGGGAACTGGGCTTTCTACTCCTATAAAGAGTTAAAGGCAGTTTTGTTGTTATTCTGGGCACAATATTAGATGATAGCTTTCACTATGATGCTGCCTCTGTGGCCGGCCTAGAGGAGCAGGGTAGAACTGCTCCTTTTGAGTTTCTGAGACTGTAGCTGTTCATGGGAGTAAAAAGCCCATCTTTCTCCTACAGAGCAGCTGGTCGTTTCAAAATGCCGACCTTGCGGATCCCACCAAGCCCAATGCATAACCTCTGTGCTACCAGGGCAGGTAGGCTCAAAACAAAATGGAATATGCAGAGCCACTGTATCAAAAAGCAGTAGACAATATTCAATCACTTCAAGAGGTAGCATATGATCAAGAACAAATGGTGACAATTCCAAGGCACCAGGAATTGCTGGGATAGTAACTGAAATGTTTACCAAAAATTGACACAACTGGAGGCACTTATTAGTCTATACAAAGAAATTTGCAAGTCAGCCTCCTGGTCAACTAACTAAATGAGATACAGATTTGTGTTCATTCCTGAGAAATCTGTAGCAACAGAAGATGGCAATTATTGAACAATATCATTAATAGCACATCCAAGTAAATCTTGGTTGACAACCATTTAAAAATGGTGGCAGCAGTCCATTAATTGGGAAATGCCAGAAATGTAATCTGGATCCAGAAGAAGATGGGGAATGAGTGATATCATTACTGATGTCAGATGGCTCTTGGCTGAAAACAGGGAATATCAGAAAGATGCTTGTATGTTATTGACTATGCCAAGGCATTAGACTGTGGATCCTCACAAACTGTGGATAGCCTTAAGAAGAATGGGAATTCCCGAACACTTCACTGTGATCCTGCAGAACTTGTCCCTGGGATAAAGAGGCAGTTATGAACCAAACAAAGGAATACTGCATAGTTTAAAGTGAGGAAAGGTGTGCAACAAGGTTGGATTCTGTCACCATGCACATTCTATCTGTATGAGCAGCAAATTATCAGAGGGGCTGGGTTATATGAAGAAAATGTATTAATATGGTCACCTTTGTTTGGCTATCTTTCAATCAGTTGGCCAAGTAGCTGTCTTCCAAATTATTAATGACTTGCATATGATATACAGATGACACAACTTTGCTTGCGGAAAGTGAGGAGGGCTTGAGGCACTTGCTGATGAAGATCAAGGATCGCAGCCTTCAGTGTGGCTTACAGCTCAATGTAAAGAAGACCCAAATCCTCACAACTGGACCAATAGGTGACATCACGATCAATGGAGAAAAGATTTAAGTCGTCATGGGTTTTGTCTTGCTTGGATCCACAATCAGTGCTCATGGAAGCAGCAGTCAGGAGATTGAAAAGACCCATTGCATTAAGTAAATCTGCACAAGACCTCTTTAGAGTATTGAAAAGCAGGGATGTTACTTTGAGGACTAAGGTGCACCTTACCAAGCCTTGGTATTTTCCAGTGTCTCATATGCATGTGAACGTTTATCACGGAATACAGAAGATCCTGTTGTGCATAGGGTCACTGTAGATTGGAATCGATTCAATGGGAGAAAAATCCTAACCAACATTTGTTAACAGCCATTGCACGCCCCATCTGTTTTGTGCTTTCAGCCTTTCCTTTCCACACTGATGTCTGCTTCAGAGGTGAAGAGAAAGGTTCCGCCTTCAGACATTAAGGTTTCTTCAACCCTACTAGTTGGTCACCTTGGCCAAATCATTTTAAGAAAAAACGCTAATTGGCTAACTGAGCAGCTGTAGGATTCAAGATAACTCAGCAACCATTTAGTCACGGTGAGGTGCAAAGTACGCTGCTCTTTCTCATTCCCCATCATTGCCATAAAGTACTTTTGCTAGCAATTCAGCCCAAGCCTGTCAATCAAAAGGAGCTGTCTGTGAACTTGGTAAGGTTCAGGAGGTCAGAATGAAGGCCAGCTACCTCCTTGATCTCATGTTGATGGGAAGGACAGTCCAAGCGACCCCTGTTCTGCTCGGCTGTTGACAGTGTGTCCTCACTGAATAGAAAGGGTCTTGCTAACAATTTGTGCTGTTGGTGGTGGAGGTGTGACACCTTTACCTTTGCTTTCAGATACGTTGTTTTTAGTTGTTGCCAGGTCTCTCCAGAGCGTGTGTGCAGTCTGACAAGGAGGGCCAATGCAAGGCTGAGGGGAGTGGGGTGGCTGGCTGCAGTGTTTAAGGAAGCACTCCTTTCAGCTGGGCGAGAAAGCAACACCAATTGTTTTTCTTCCCTCCCTTTGGGGATGCAGCAGGTGACACTTCTGGCTGCCCATGGAAAAGCCTGCAGTTTGAGCTCACTACACCCTTTGTGGGAGAAAGCTAAGACTTTCTGAAGTTTCACTCTGTCCTGCAGAGTTGCTACCAGTCAGGATTGACTCAATGACAGTGAGCTGGTTTGGGTTTGGTCCTCCACTTCCTGGGTTCCCAAACTTATTTGGCCTACTGCCCCTTTTAGGAAAAAAAAAAAAATTACACAGTGCCCCACTGGCAATGAACAACTTTTGTACTATCGCCCATGATGCAGCATAAAGTGTAGGTATGTGCTTTGACATGCCTCCCTGGATTGTTCTAGTGTCCCTCAGGGGCGGCATTGTCCACTTTGACCAAGGGCTGGGCTGCCAACTACAAGGTTAGCAGTTTAAACTCAACAGCTGCGCCATGGGAGAAGGGTGACACTGTGTGCTCCAGTCTCTGAAACCCACAGGGACAGTTCTACTCTGTCCTATAAGGTGGCTGTGTGTCAGAATCGACGTGGTGGCGGTGGGTTCTATTTAGCTGCTGTATCACAGGAAAGTCTGAGCTTGCTAAAAGAAAATTAGAAGCTCAGACTCCTTAGTGATGCAGCCAAGCGAGTGTAACCTGGGAGAAAAGTCCGCTTGCCCTGTTCCATTTTCCTTCAATGGGTTCCTAGGTGGGAGAACAATTTGTGCTTGACTTTCAGTGAACTCACCCTGAGGCACTGTGGAAGAAAGGGCTGGCAATCTACTTAAGCAAAGATTACAGCGGAGCAAACCCTATGCAGCAGTTCTATCCTGCAACACAGTGGGTCTCTACACGCTGAAACCCCCCCTGATGGCCAAGATTTGGTTCAGGTTGTTACAAAGCAAAACAAAACAGCACATGTTGGGTTGAACGTCCACCCTTCATATCTTCCTGTTGTGGAGAAGAAAGCCCACCCAACGTTGTACCCATGTGCCCAAAGCATACTGTTTGGGCCCATCCCTATTCTTCAGCTTCCAATTCTGGGCAATGTCTCCCCAGGTGAAGATTTCCAAGCTCATACCCTGGGCCACTTCTGCCTCTACTCTACCAGCTCATCGCCACTCAAACATTGCTCTGGGAGCTGGAGGGGAGCACATCAGGGAGCAGAGACCATGTCCGGAAATGCGACCAGGGCTCTGAGGAAAGGTGAGTCTTCCCCACACAGACAAGGGCCCACAGACTGGCGACACAGTGTGGCTGGGATGCGGACTCGGGAGATGGGGCCGACCGACAGGGTGGGCACAAAGCCATGTACCAAAGAAGTGCTCTCTGGCACTTAGTGTAAGAGCCTAGCCCTCCTGGAGTCCCAGGAAGTGGGGCAGCTCCCCTCCCACCTAACTAACCAATTCCCCCCACCCGGTCCCTTGCAGGATGCCCGCCCCCAGGGCCGGTCCCAGAGGGCATTATCCGCCTCTACAGCATGAGGTTCTGCCCCTACGCGCACCGAACCCGCCTTGTCATGCATGCCAAAGGAATCAAGTGAGAAGTTCCAGCCCCACTGGGGGTGGGGTATGGGGTGGGGTCTTTAAAATCTGGGGTGCCCAGCCTCTTCTCTCTGGGAAAAGGTTGATTCTTTGGTGGATTGTCCTGAAATGCGGACATCTTTAGGGACTTGGGTCTGTGTACAAAACGTTTAGGAGAACCCAGAATTAATCCGACGGCGGTTCTGGTTGAGCTGGTCCTCTCCCATAACACGAAGGAAAGAATGACACTGGTGGTTTCCAGGCTGCCCACCAACTGCCCCATCGAAGGCAACCTCCACTCACCTTCAGGTCAACCCTGTTCTCTTGCTTCGTGCAGACCTAAAGCCAACGTGTTCGTATCAGCCTTCCTATACGCCCACCCACTCCTGCCAAAATGTAAGTTCTTGGGGCCTTCATGCCCTTTCTTCACCGGCTGGAAGAGAGTGGGCCACAGTGGTGGCGTTGGCGTTAGGTGCTATCACGTAGGTTCCACCTCCTGGCAACCCTGCACGCCACAGACAGCACATTGCACATCCCCATCCTCGCTGTGAGGCTGCAGCCACGGCTTCCACCCATCTTGCACAGACTCCTCTTTTTCACTGACCCTCCACTTGATGAGGCACGATGCCCTTTTCTAGAGACTGGTCCCTCCTGATAACATGTCCAAAGCACATGCCGCCCTGGCTTCTAAGAAGCATTCTGGCTATTCTTCCTCCAAGTCAGAGTTGTTTGTTCGTCACCAATACCATCATACACCAATTCCATGGTGCAGTGGGAAGCGGTCCTGCAGAGTCTTCAAGCGACATCCTTGCTCTTTAACACTTTAAAGAGGTCTTGGGCAGCAGCTCTGCCCAATGCAAAGCAGCGTTGTCCTTTGGTTGCCCAACTGAGTTTCCCATGAAAGTTGATTGTGAATCCAGACAAAATAATATCCTTGATGGCGTCCATTCCTCTCTGCTTATTCTGTCCTGTCTACTGGTCTCGGAGTATTTCGGCTTTCCTTACCCTGAGTTGCAGTCATTACTGAAGGCTGCAGTCTTCTGTTTTCATCGGCAAGTGCCTCAGTCCTTCTTGCTTTCAGCAAGCACTGTTGTGTCATCTGCGTATCAAAGGTAATTTATAAGCTAGGTGCTCAGTGTTTGTTGGATGAATGAACACATAGTCCAAACGATGAAATAGAAGGAACTGCTCCCAAGGGGGGTTTGGACCGTTCTGTAATATCTGATCCTTGGGTCCATTTCCTTGCAGAAGGAAGTTTGCATGACTAGCTGGTGCAGGTCTGGCTGTGGACGGTGGAAGGATGTTGCTGGAATGTGGACTTAATCATGCCACTGGCCTCGAAGAGAACGGGTTAAGAACGTGCTACTCCAGGCTTTTGATTCTTGTCTTGGGGAGGGCAGACATTGCAGATGGATCCCAAAGCTTGGGATTCATGTCAAAGAAATGCAGAGAGCAACCGAGAGGCCCCATTTCCAGATTTTTCCCTTTTGCTCCAACCTAATTGGCCCCAAGGACACCATCTTGGGAGAGAAATCATGACAGACCTCTTGGTGTCTTGCTCAGGCCGACAGACTGTGAGCTTAGGAATTGATGTGGACGTTTCTCGAGGGCAGAGTTTCTCCCAGTCAGCAGTGTTGATGTCTCTGGTGGGGTCATTCTTTGTGGGGAAGGGACAGAATGCTTGGCAGCATTCCCAGCCTCATCCCCTAGCTGCCAGGAGAACCCCCTCCCCAACGGTAACAAACCCAAACGTCTCCAGACATTGTTCAGTATCACTCATAGTTGCAAACCAGTGCTTTAGAGTTGAAGATGATGTCCTGGAGTCTAGACTGAACAAAGAATGTACCCATTTGGTTCCTTTGATATTTGGAAACATAGGAGAGACCCGGTGTTCATTGTATAGGTCTGAACCCAAATAAAAACAAACAAGAAGAAAGAAAGCCGTCACATACTTCTGTTTCGACACGATCCCAAACATCCATTTCCACGCATTTGCTCCTCAAAATGACAAGAGATGGGAGCAATTGTTACTCCCACTTTACAGTTAGGGAAACCGCATACAGCGGGCTGCAAGAATTTGGCTTAGGTCGCACCACTGGATTTATCCCACTCCAGAGAGTCTGATGGCTAACCCAAACTCCAGTTGCTAACACATGCCCTGGTCTACTGTGGCCTGTTCAGATTCAGATTCTCAAGCTTTGGGATGTTTTAAATCGGTAGTGTCCTGGGTCAAGTATGGGAGCTCTGAGTCAGACTGCCTAGAAGCGACCATGGATCGGTTCCTTGACGTGAGATTCCACCTCCTGAAGCCTTATTTCCTAGGAGGTAAACTGTGTGTTCTATGTTAACACTGTTCACAGGAAGGGCATCCGTTCAAAACCACCAGCTACTCCTCGGGAGAAAGATAGGGTTTTCTACTTCTGTGAAGAGTTATGGTCTCGGAAACCCACAGGGGAAGTTGTACCCTGTCTGTAGGGTTGCTGTGAGTCGGCGTGGACTCCTTGGCAGTGAGGTGTTTTGTTTGTTTGTTTGTTTAAACCTACCGGCAGGAGGCCCTGAACACATCACACTGCAGGAAGGGAGGCCCTTTCTTCCAGAAGTTAAACTTTATCAAAGTTTCAGTTTGCTCAGTTGAGTTTCATCAGTGGATTGCATCCACTTCCCAGAAGAGCATCTCCCTGCGTACACCTTCCATCTCATTCCGCCTTGCCTTCCCTCTCGCTCTTTCAGATACCAAGTTGTCAACATTAATCTGAGATGCAAGCCCGACTGGTTCTACACAAAACACCCTTTTGGCCAAGTACCGGTCCTGGAGAATTGCCACTGCCAGCTCATCTATGAATCGGCCATCGCCTGTGAGTACTTGGATGATGCTTATCCTGGAAAGAAGCTGTTACCTTGTGACCCTTATGAGCGAGCCCGCCAAAAGATGCTATTGGAGCTATTCTGCAAGGTATATCCAATATTTTTCCTTGGGTTTTTAAAACAATATGACCAGCATGTAATTCACACATCATACGAATCAATCGTGCAGCCACATTCAGAAGAGTTGTACAATCATCTCCACAGTCAAGTTCAGAACATGTTCTTCTTTCTTGCACTCATTGTTATTAGTGCCCCATTTTATATATATATATAACTAAAGGCCACACACACTCTTGGCACATTCTTCCCCAAACTCCACCCCATGTTTAAGCACGCAGTTAGAATCGTTTTTGTTTTGTTGGTTCTGTTTAGTTATCCACTGCAGGCAGATAACTAGTGTGGGCTCACAGGTGGTTCAGGGCCACGGATGCCCAAGGTGAGCGCTTGAATGGATTTTTTTCCTTGCCCTTCTTTCCCTTTGAAGCAGCAACAGGCTTAGTGGGTAGAGGTCTAGTGTCGCTGTGACCAGGTGACTTGAAAGGAGCTATTTCCCAGGATTCGAGCTTAGAAACGACACTGAGGCACAAAGAAGACCATGCCCTTTATGTTTAGGAAAGGGGAAGAGTGGAGGAAAGGGGGCAGCTGCTGAGCGGGGAAGAAAAAGCGATGGAGAAAATTTTGGATCACTCCTTCCGAAGGGAAATAAGCAGCAACTCGCTGGTACAAGTTTGGGGGACGCACTGAGGACTCACAATGTCCTCACCTACTTAATTGGCTCACTCAGGTGCTTTTTAAGTGGAGTACTATGGTTGTGCCCATTTTTCAGAAGGGAGCATGGAGGCTCAGAGAGGTTAGTGTCCTGCCTGCACAGCATGGAGGCAGCGGGTCCAGGGAGGAGCACTGGAGAGCCAGGCTGCTGGGGGGGCGCGGGGGGCGGGGATCCTGGAACTAGAGAGAAACTAGTACCAGGCACAGGGAGCCGGCTGTTGGCCTGCCATGCTGACTGTTCTCAGGCGGAGAGGGCCAACGGAGTACCTCCGTCTCCTCCACTCAGAACCTCTGCCCTCCAACCAGGTCCCAGGTTTGGCCAAGGAGTGTCTGATAGCACTCAGAAACCGGAGAGACTGCTCGGAACTGAAGGCGGCTCTGCGCCAGGAATTCTGCAACCTGGAAGAGGTACACGAGGGGGCCCCTCTCCTGATCAGATACACCGGAGGGAGTTGACTCAGACCAATCACCTGCTTACTCTGACACCCCCACCCCTATGGGCTGATTCTTTTCACCAGACTTGGGTCAGGCCAGCCTCTCATCATCTGATTTCAGCTTGCCCTCCACTAGCCTGTTCTGGAACAAGTTTTCCAAATCTGCCCCAGAGCTAGCAAGGACTTGTCCTTTCCTATGTGATTCTGTAGAGCTACTGTTGCTTCTGCTAATGAGGCCAGCGTCTGTCTGGGTCAGGGAGCATGCTCGTCTGCTAGTCAATGGGACCTAATGACTGTACATTTTTCTTAAAGGGGCCCATTCTCTCATAACAAAGCATGCACGTGCATGCGTGCACGCGCGTGCACACCCACACACACACCCCCACACACAAAACAGAGCTTGATAGTTCAGGGCTGTTTTGATGGTCTCTTTGTGGAGCGATGGTTTGAGCTACCAAGCTTGTGGTTCACAGCCCATCACCTAACCCACAGTGTCACCAGGGCTGCTCAGAGAAAAGCCCCCCACACCCACACCTGCTGCCATCTAGTCCTGCCTGGCTTGTAGATACCCTCTCTGGGGTTTCTGAGGCTGTAAATATTCCCCAGAGCAGACAGCCTCATCCTTGTTCCCGTGAAGTGGCTGGTGGGTTTGAAACTGCCAGCCAGGCAGATAGCAGCCATTGGGCTTAACCCACCCTGCGACCAGGGCCTTGAGAAATGTGAATAGAAAGGCGAAAATGGCGAAGGCCTTGCCTCTTAAAGGATTTTCCCCAGGCCTTTGGCCTGATGGCGAAAGTTAGCTGGTGATCACGTCTCCTTGGCCAGATGTTAGAAGTAGATCCTAACCTGCTCAGGAGAAACGGAGTCTCATGTAGAAGGACACCTCATACTAACGCAAGGCTCTG